TATGGTTTCTTTTTATTAATGACCTCCTATGGGATATCTGGCCAGATTTTTTTTTTTTTTTGTCGGTCGTGGGGCCTGAACTCTGGGCCTGGACGCTGTCCCTCAGCTCTTCAGCTGAAGGCTAGCGTTATACCACTTGAGCGTCAGCCCCACTTCTGGCTTTTTCTGCTTATGTGGTGCTGAGGAACTGAACCCAGGACCTCATTCATGTAAGGCACAGTTGTGGTAGAAAATGTGGCAAAAAGCCTTAGACAATAATTTAATACCTCCCAGAGAGAAAGAGAGAACGTAAATGTAAATCAATGGCTTTAAATAATCAAGTTGTGGTATCAGTAATAGCTATAGCTATAGATCTTATACTACCAGGGCTCAGCTAGGTACTTTACGTGTAGATCTGAGGTTCTATGAGCACACTGTTCATGAGGTCTAACTAGTGCTTGTCATGTTTCTCCATGGGCACTCTGATGAGTTTGGATGACCATGTTGGCAGTACTGCAGAATGTTCCTGTCATTCTATATGAGGCTTCTTAGGATGGGATTCAGAAAACAGATGACAAAATGTATGTGACTGCACATTTTAGGAGGAAGGTCTTCATTAGATTTCACTGGAGTCCATGACATAGTAAAGGTTCAGAGTTGTTTTCAAGATATTCCCTTGAGCCTGATTTTAAGCTCTGTCTTATCCTTTGGATAGGATGTTTTTCTAAGGAAAAGCCATAGCACAATATACTAGTGTTTCTATATGAGAAGAAAGTGGAAGCAATTGCCCAAGTGAATGTTTCAAATTGTAACTTGAAATATCCACATAGCTAAGGTAAGGAAATGCAAATGATGATGGACAATCGGAGAGGTTGTGGCTGAATCATCTACCTTGCTTCTTCTTCTTAATTTAATTCTCTGCTTCTCAGTAACATATATGTGAAAACTCACTGCTCAGAGAGGAAGAAAAATGAGCTTAGTTTCTCTCAGTTATAAAACTTAGAAAGATATGGCCCAGAAAGTTATAAAACTACTTGCAAAATATGCCAACATTAGCAATGATATTTTTAAATAAACGAACAATAAAGAAACTATTCACTTATTTTAAGATGTATCATCTTGCAATGAATAAAAAGTACAGATGTAATTTTTTCTCTTTCAAAGAAGTTCTGCTGAATTTCAAATATTTTCTTTGAATAATCATGTTTGACAGGTATTAAGGTAATGTTAGAAGGTAATTAAAATTAATGTAGTAATCTCTACTGGATAATGTCTACACAGGTGTTTCCCTCCATCATTAAACATAAAAATGTTTAATATATACAATTTTGAGTTTAAATCTAAGGCATTAGGAGAGACTATTTGTATTCCTCATAAAACCCACAAAATTTCTAAAGATTTTTTTAAAAAAAACATGTAACTTGTTTCTGTAAAATGTATTAGGTTATACAAAAACTTTAAAAATATACTCCTTGCATGAAGTATGTGGATACTATTAGAGGTATGATTTCTAATTCTCCATATATATTGTGAAGTAGGAAGTTATACAAAAGGTCCTTGAATATTTCCTTACCAAATCAATTCTTTTATTATCCAGAGCCACATTCTAAATTTAGTACTAACACTTAACATAATTTTGCATGTACATGCCTATGTACCTATCTTCTACTTAACTACCTACCTAAGTGCACATACATTTCCATCCATCCATCCATCCATCCATCCATCCATCCATCCATCCATTTATCTTTACATATCTGGTCTCCAGCATAGAAATTAAGAGTGAACAAAAGGGTTAGTGGAACATTAGAAACTAGACAACAGATAGTGACATTAATGAAAAAGACAGCAAAACCAAGTCCCATATTCTACTTTACTAACATGCCATAGTCTAATGGAATCTTGAAATGATTGTACTAAGCCATCACACCTTGCATATGACATATTCAAATATGTCAAGTTGTTTTCTCCAAACATGGTCAGAAAAATAACTTCAAACTACATGATTTTCCTATCCGTGCATGAAGCCATGTCTCTTTCCTTTGAATCTATGTTGATGAACAGCATATCACAGAAGTAAGGCTGTGTGACTCCTAAGGATGGATCAAAAAGTTAGTACACCTTCTATTTTGCTCACTTAGCCATTTTTGCCAGGGCCTTATGCCACTGTATAAGTTTAACAACCTCCAGGCTGCCATGCCCGAGATGGTGCATAGAGGTAAGTGTTCTACTTGGTATCTCAAGATGATTGATCTTCCATTGGATTCTACTGAACTCCAGCCCACTAGATCACTAGGGGACTACAACCCTAGCAGAAATCTGACTAACTATGAGAATCTGAAGAACTGTCTACTATACCTAACAAAAGAACCATGAAACACACTATTAAATGGTTATTTTCAGACATTAAGCTTTGGGGTGATACCTTTTGTGGCCATGGATAATGGGATAGCTACTGAAAAGGCTGGTACAGTTCAAACCATGTGTTTTCTAGAAAAGATAGTCAGGGTAGGTGTATCATGTGAGTTAGATTATTTAATCTTCACAGCAACTTTCAAGACAAGGCCTTTACAAAAGTTCTTTTCAAATTTCTTTTTCTCTCATGGCAGCTACTTCTTGTCTTGTGGATACAACGTTTCACTAAGTACAATTTACTAATAAGTACAATTTACCAAGTACAATTTAATGCTAAATTAAAGTTAATTTAAATTTCTTTTTCAGTTTTGGATTTTCAGGTCACCAACACTCAGGTAATATAAGTTCAGGCCCCAAATCTTCATAAGTACTAGCAGGTGGGAACTCAGGGTCTTTTAGGCTGATTCAGTTTTTTCCTTTAAGGCTGGCACTCTACCACTTGGGCCACACCTACACTCCCAGCTTTTTATGCTAATTGTAGATAAAAGTCTTAAGGATTATTCTGCCCTAGAGGGATTAGAACTGTGATCCTAAGATCTTAGCCTCCTGAGCAGCTAGGATTATAGTTGTGAGCCACTGGTACCTCGCTTACTCTAAACACTTTTACATAGGCGTAATACACATTAATTTTCCCAGGCAAACATTAACAGAATATTTTATTTTCTTTTGTTGGAAATTTTGATCAAGATTCACTTTTTTCCTTTTGTGCAGCACTGGGTTTTTGAACGCAGGGCTTCATGCTTAAGAGGCAAGTGCTCTCTGAAGCAAGTGCACAGAGGCAAAAAGTCCAGCCCATGTTCTTGCACTGGTTATTTTGAGACTGGGTCTCAATATTTGCCCAGGCCTGGACACGGATCCTGGTCTACCTATTTTACATATCCCATTCTGGGGTAAAAGGTATGTGCTACTATGCTCAGGTTTTTCCACTGAGAATTCTGCCCTGGCTGACTAGAACTGTAATCCTCCCAATCTGAGCCTCCTGAGTGGCTAGTATTACAATTGTAGCTACTATATTAGTTGGTTTAAAAGACTGTTTGTTTAAAAGACAAGTATATATTCCTAGTAACAATATGCTTATTATTTAAATCAAGAATTGAATTTACATATAAATGTATGTTCATGGCTATCAAATTTGTAGGTTTTATACATGGGTGCCAGTATTTGAGACTCAAGTGTCCATGTACTTAAATGCATATTGTTCTATTATTAATTATTTTCTTCTAGGACATGTTATTGATCTTTTTTTTCCTTTTCTTTTAACTATTCTGCAGCTGGAACTCAGGGCCTGGGCGTTGTCCCTGAGCCTCTTGGTGCTTAAGGCTAGTATTCTACTACTTCAGCCACAGTGTCCCTTCCAGTTTTGGGGTGGCTAATTGGAGATAAGAGTCTCATGAAGACTTTTCTGCTCGGACTGGGTTTGAACTGCGATCCTTGTTAGTATTATGATCACCTTTGGTTCTCAGCTCCACCTAGACCTGGCCCCCCTCCCATCCTGGAGTTCCCTCCATACAGCTGGCCCCTCCCTCTCTCTGCCCAGACCCACCTGAACTCCCATCTACCTCACTTCCTATCCCTCAGACTCTCCTGCTACCTGGATGGTGGCAGAGGCCAAGTGCTCCCTCTTGGGGGAAATATGGCTCCTCTCATAAACCTTATAATAATCTTTCTCCTGTGCCTGCCTGCCTCTGTGTGGTCCCCTGGGATGGATGTGTGGGATCCTCTTTCAATCCTCAGATCTCAGCCTCCTGGGTAGCTAGGATTATAGGCATGAGCCCCAGGTGCCGGCTCATGTTACTGATTTTTATAAACAAGGACATAGTTAGGAAAGTCATTTATAATTTCCATTGCGGAAAAATAAAAGAGTATATTAGGAAGAGTTATAAAAATAAATGGGACACAGAATGAAGGAAATGTGGAAATGCCCAGTCATTTAAGTTTTCTACAGATCTAGCCTACTGGGATATTAGCTATTACGCAGAACATAGTTTTGTTCCTCTTTCTAGTCCAATGCTGACTCTAAGGCAACCCGGTGACAGACATACAGTTCTAATAGCAAGGTAGTCTCTTGGCCCTTGCTTAGAAGTAAACGCCTGAGCCAGCAGCATTGAAGAACAGGAAACTGGTTCAGTTTTTCCACAACCCTTTAATTAATTAAGCGGCTGACTGCCCCAGGCAGGGTCTGTTCCTGGTCTTCCCTCTCTGTGACCCTGTTTTCTTCCCCATGGTTCTACTTAACTCCCCTGTTTTAGCAGTCCTGTTTTCCACCTTTTTTTGTATTAGGAGGCTTTTGTTTAAGTTGGGCTGTACCTTCAATCTTTTTCTATCTGTTATATTTTATTGAAAATTTCCTCAGTGTTGATTGTACAATTCTAGGTTTTCAGTGCTGATATGGATTCATTTATATATTCATTCTTCTATTTCAAAGGACATAGAGTTAAAGGCAAATATTAATTGGCCATCATCAATGAAATCTATTTAGGACACTTTAAGGCAAATATTCAGTCCCCACAGTGGTGCATTAAATTTTTATTCATATACTAAAATGGAACTTTGCTTTTGTTTGGTTAAGTGACTTTAAAAAAAAGTGAAAAATGAATTAGACTTACAATCCACATCAAGGATGGCACGAACAGATTTCACAAGCTCCTTAGACTCCAGAGCCAGGGTTGCTGGGATGTGGCGTCCGTTCCTTCCCAGAGGGGAGAGGGAGGACTGAGAGGCAAACATGGCTCTTCTTTCACTATAGTAGTAATGAAATCACAGGAAACAGTAGCTTGTTTATTGCTAAATCTGAATTCGTATTCATTACAACTCTGTACAAGAATACAAGAATATTTCTTTTTTGAAATATTTATATTCTTACAGTTATCTACTATGCAATCCAGGAACAGTATTTGTTTTCAATTCTTTATTATTCAATTAAATAGACATATCTTGAAAGAAATTACCTTTATACATAACAGAAAAGAGCTGAAGAAAAAGTCCTCCCTTGTAAATCATTTGTTGTGCTTATTTTGTAAATGTTTATGTTTTGCAAACACTATTTAGCCTTTTATTTAGTTTTGTAAAATTCAAATTAAGTATATAAGAACAGATTAATAGGCATTATTCTTTATAGTAACATTAAATATAAATTCAGTATACACAGTTTCACTTCTGAAATGATTGTTTTTGTTGTTCCCTTAATTATTGAGGTACTGGAAATTGAGTCCTAGGCTTTGTGGTAGCAAGTGATCTAACACTTGACCTATTCCTCCAACCATGAAATGACCTTTTATTCTTTAGGTGCCAGTCTGGGGACTTGAACTCAGGGCCTAGGTACTGACTCTAAGCTTTTTTGCTCAAGGCAAGCACTGTACCACTTAAGCCACAGTTCCACTTTCAGCTTTTTTGGAGCTTAATTGGAGATAGAGTCTCAAAGAATTCCCTGCCTGGGCAGGCTTCAAACCACTACCCTCAGATCTTAGCATCCCAAATAGCCAAGATTATGGCATTTTGATATAATTTGCAACATTTTCCTAAAAAAGAAAAATCATTGCACTAAAACTTTCACTTGAAAAGAGACATCTTTTACTGATTGTAAAACCACCATGCCTTATAATTCATCTTTTAAAATATGATAATATTAATTTATAAGAAGAAAGGACAGAATCAATTTTCAAATTCAAACATATCTATTCTGAATGAACAAGGGCAAGGTCTGTAATGAAGATACAGTGTATTTACTAGATCAGATTTCACTAGTGTCTAACTTTTCAAGATAGGGTAAAATATTACTTACTAAAGCTTTTTAAAAATATTCTCTTTACCAGAAGAAGTAAAAGTAAGGGTAGGCTCTGGCTTCTAAATAATTATTTTACCTTTGATTTTTTAAATGTAAATATTTTTAATTAATCAAGTTCAAAATGATACTTTAGAGCAAGGGCAGAGGAAAGTAGTCTTACTGAAAATAATATTCATCGAATTCACATAATTATTTTATATGATAAGCTGTATATGTAAAAACAAAAGGGTCAGTTTCTTTCATTATAAAGCAGCGAAACAAGCCTAAAATCAAAAAACTGTAGATAATCTACCAAAAAGCACTATGTGGATGCCTAAAATATCTGATGTTTTTACAACAAAGGGTAGTGTTTTCCAGAGTACTGCACTGATTTTAGTTAAAAGCTGAGAAGCAATGAGTTTTCTGGTTTCTCCAAGTGATACTGATAAAAAAAGACATATCAAGTAGTTATTTAAGAAAATAAATTACTTTAAAAATGCACAATAAAGCTAGGTTCTGGTGACTTATGCCTGTAATCCTAGCTACTCAGGAGGCTGAGATCTGAGGATTAGATTTGAAGTGAGCCTAGGCAGGAAAACCTATGAGATTCTTATCTATATCAAAAAACTAGAAGTGAAGTTGTAGCTCAAGTGGTAAAGTGCCAGTCTTGAGTACAAAAACTCAGGGCCAAGTCCCTGAGGTCAAACCCTAGACTGGCATGTGCACGCACCCCTCATTCCTGCCCCCCATATACACAGGATAATCCCCCCACATGCACAGGATAATCAGAATTTTCACCACGTGATGACCATAACCTTGTGGTCTGAAATAGATTTCATTTGTATATTTCTAGCTCCTAGTAAGAAACCTGAAGTCTGAAGCATAGTGTGAATAGTAAGGAGTGTTCTCTGAATCTATTCTTAAAATTTATATACATTGAAAGATGAAGACGGAAGAAATTGATTACATGAGTAGAGAGTATGTTTTGCAAAGTTCTATTTGACATCACGATGAATCTGCTGGGTTGAGGCTGTCCCTTATCAGTACATTAGTGACCAGTAACTTTTATATACAGATAGGCTGCTCAGTGCATTCAAGTTAGTCTCATTTGAACAGATTTCTTGACAATATGGGATATGTAATTTCACTCAAAAGTACAAAGTAACAACGATTAGCTAAATCTTCCAGGAATTTCTTTGAGATAGTATCCAAAACAATTATTTCCTCACATGTATTTCCAGAACATTAAGGAAGACATCTGCAGAAAAGATGCTGAATCTTAAGATCATTTAAGGTATTTTTGTTATTTTGGCCACAGTTGCTAGATGGGGCATTTAATCAGGGGACATACTTGTGAAATCAGTTAAATATTCTTACCTTATACTTGATAAAGGAGCAGAATTATCAGATAATACTTCTTGAATGGTCTGGCAACAAACAAGAGGGTGAAGGTGATATGCAAATTTGACAACTTTAAAAAGTGTTTTTTCTTGCTTATAAATATTTATAACATCCCTTCTGCATTGATTAAACAGATGTTTCTATTATGGCTGGGGGACCAATTATATCTATACAATATTGCAACAATAATAAAATTAGTGATGAAAATATTTCTTTATAGAGAAACACTGTATAAAGTTAGATATATGGCCTAAGTATTTTCAAAGTCATTAACACACTATGGATTTAGGATCATGTCACTCTCAATCTCCTAGCACTTTATATAATTCTAGCCACTGTTCATGATCCAGGCAACTTTGAATCCACAATATTTTAACACTTCTGTTTTGAGCTTAAAGAATGCGTCACAAAGCACTAAGCATTATTGTGACGTTTATGTATGTCAAGTGTCTACACATTTCCTAAAAATGGCCTTCATACAATATACAATTGATCTGATAGAGGATTGTTTTTAGGACCCACAAGGATATCAAAATCCAAAGGTGCTCAAGTCCATTACATAAAAATTGTCAGATTATTTCTGTATATAATCAACACACATGCTCCTAAACAGTTCAAATAATTGTAGACTACTTATATCTAATTTAATATCAATATAGTGGAAATGTTGTGTGTCTACTGTTTCACAAGAATGACAGGAAAAAGTATATACAAGTTTACTACAGATGGAACCACTGTAGGCCTAGCTACCCTAGATGAACAAGACACAGGTGAACTCTGAGAACCTGGTAAAGACATGACCTGGTGGGAGGCTGGAGCGTGGACCTCTGCATTAGTGTGGATTCAGTGTAGTGTTTGGGGTGTGGCAAATTTAAATTTTGATTATGGGAACATTCTTGAATTTTTTTCTCTTGAATAATTTCAATCAATGATTGGTTGAGTCTGTAGATGTGAAACCCAACCAGAAAGAAGGCCAACTGTAGCAGAAATATTTACCTCTACAAAATGAAGAAGCTTTTCAGTGGATGCCTCAAAAGCTTTTCGAGCCATTTCTGATTTTCGCAACTGGCAGTCAAGTACTGTGATTCTCTTTCTTAAATCTTGAACACTTTCCTAGACAACAGACATCAAAAGGAACAGCTCATGCAATTGTTTGATTTTACTTAACTGTTCCTTATTTTCAGTTTTCATGAGGTAGTATCTTATATCACCTCTTCATGTATCTTCTGACTGGTGGGGACATAACAAATTACATGTCTATTTCAATCAAACAGCCTCCTCTATCCTCCTTAGTTTTGCTCCCCCTCTGCCTGGTACCACCAAGTTCTCTTTCCCTGTGCTACATCCCCCTATCGGTCAACAGCTTTATCAAGGTTCTTTATGTGTTTTCATATATAGTTGCAATTATTCATTCTTCATCTTTCTTTTCTTGTTCCTTTCTCCTCCTAAGTCCTTTATGTGGATTCATGTTGTTTATCCATATAAATAACTATGGATATGGACATATATATATATATACATGTCTATGAATATGTAAGTTTTTTAGGTCCAGCTTCCATATATGAGTGAAAACACAACCTTGTGCTTTCTGAGCTTGCTATATTTCACTCAATATAATGTCCTCCAGCCAGGCGCCGGTGGCTCACTCCTGTAATCCTAGCTACTCAGGAGGCTGAGATCTGAGGATCATGGTTCAAAGCTAGCCTGGGCAGGAAAGTCTGTGAGATGCTTATCTCCAATAAACCACTAGAAAACCAGAAGTGGTGCTGTGGCTCAAGTGGTAGATTGCTAGCCTTGAGCTGAAGAGCACAGGGACAGCGCCCAAGCCCAGGGTTCAAGCCCCACGACTGACAAAAAAAAAAATGTCCTCCAATACCATTTGTTTACCTAAAAAATGACATAATTTCACTCCATGTTTGGTTAAGGGCTTATCAAGCCAAGAACCAACTGTTTATTTCATTGATTCTGTGTATTGTTCTTTTAGTCTTCATTTCATTGATTTTTAAAATTTCCTTTCTTTTACTCATTTTTCATTTGTCTTGTTTTTCTCACCGTGTGAGATGGTTATTTACTTGAGATCTCTTTGACTGATTATGTAAAGCATTCATGGCTATGAATATTCCTCTTACCAGTCTTTGCTATGTTGTGCTAAGTTGTATTTTTATTTTCATTTGCTTCTATGAATTTTCTGTTTGACCTTCTTTCTTCTAAGATAATACAATGATCATTTAAGAATGTATTGATTGCTGGGCACTGGTGGCTCACGTCTGTCATCCTAGCTTCTCAAGAGCTGAGATGAGGATCATGGTTCAAAGCCAGCCTGAGCAGAAAAGTCTGTAAGACTCTTTTTTTGGGTTGTGGGGCTTGAACTGTGGGCATAGGCATTGTCCCTCAGCTCTTCAGATCAAGGCTAGCACTCTACCACTTGAGCTACAGCACCACTTCTGGTTTTCTGGTGGTTTACTTGGGATAAGAGGCTCATAAACTTTTGTGCCTGGGCTGGCATTGAACAGCGATTTTCAGATCTCAGACTCCTGAGTAGCTAGGATTACAAGCATGAGCCACCAGAGCCCAGCTTGTGAGACTCTTATCTCCAATTAACCACCCCCAGACTGGAAGTGGTTAGAGCACAAGTTTTGAGCACAAAACCTCAAGGACAGTACCCAGGTTGTGAGTTCAAGCCCCATTTACTGAGGAAAAAAAAGCATATAATAATCACTGTATGCTTTTCTATTTTTTGTAGTTTCTTATATTGTTGATTTCTAAGTTTATTACATTGTGTATTTGTTAAGAGCTATTTTATAACCTAAAATATAACCTATTTTGGAGAAAGTTCTCTTGTCCACTGAAAATAATACATAATCTGTGTCTTTGGTTAGAACATTCTGTAGAAATATTATATATGATCTATAATATAATTAAATTCTGAAGTTTCCCTGGTTTTTTTTTTTGGTCTGGATGAACTACATACTTGTGAGAGTGGGGTATTAGTGTTATACTATTACTGCCTTGATGTCTATTTCTGCCGGTAGTGTTTCTTCTGTGAAATTATTGTTACTAATTTGGTGCATAATAGTTTACAATTGTAATACATTCTTGATGGATGTTCCATTTATCAATATGAAGTCTCTTCTGAACAATTTTGGTTTGTCTACATTATCTATATTGCATAGATACTCCTGTTTGCTTCTGGAATCCATGGCTTATAGTAACATCTTCCATCCTTTAACTTTAAGCTTACATTTGTTTTTACCAATGAGATTCATTACTTGCATCTTGATTCTTAATTCAGTCCACTAGTCGGTATCCATTGTGAAGAATTGAGACAATTAACATCATTATAGAAAGGTATGTGGTATTTCCTGTCATACTGTTTTTGTAGTATTTGGTTCTAATTCTCTTCTGCTTAAGTACTCCATTTGATGAGATTCTTTCCTGCATTTCCATGTGTGTGTTTATCTTCCTTTCTTTGTATGTGTAGAATTCTTTTAGGTATCTTCTGTAATTATGTTTCAGTGGTTATGGGTTCCTTTATATTTTGCTTATCATGGAAAGTTTTTTAAAATTTTTCCTTTAACGATGAATGATAACTTTGCTAGATACAGTAACCTAGGCTGATAATTATTTTCTTTCAAGATGGAGGGTATTTTTGGTTGTTGTTGTTTCTTTCTTCAGTTTGTTGTTTTAAGTTTCGTGTACTTGATTGACCATTTATTTTCCAAGATGTAGAGATTCTTCTACTACTTTAGTGACTATGTTTAATGACATAGGTTGCGCTTCTTCTTCTGTGCCTATAATTCATAGGTTTAGTCTCTGCTGTCCCAGAGATCTTCAATGTTTCTTTTTTTTCCCCCCCAAATGGCTGTTGAATTTATTTGCTTGATCAATAATAGTCTTGGCAAAAATTAGTTAACCAATGTTGAGACATTTTTAATAGTAATTTCAGATATCCATGATACCCTGATAGAAATTAGAATTTACACAAACAAAACTGTCAATATTGCCAGCAAATATAAAATGAATATAATATGTCTGACAGGACAGCAAGAAGGCGTTTATACATTTATATTTGACACCTGACCATATTTTCAGTCACCATAATATCTTCTCTCCAGATTAAAAAAAATAGTATGCTGATTTCTATAACAAAGCTTTTTCGTACAAAAATGAAATAATGGCCAACAAGTCACAACAGCGCAATAGGTAGAGGATAAAAAAACTGCATCAAACAGGTGCTGAAAATAAATACTAACTAGGAGAAGAACAGAGCCCTCAGGTGGGATTTGACTTCATCACCTTATTGTGTGGGGCCCAGCAGGGGGATTATTTTCAGAGCCACAGGGTGCCACTCACCTGACAAAGGGCCACCAAATCAATGTTTCTTTTGTACTTCCTTAATTTTTTCCCTTCCTGAAACAATGTTCTAAATGATCTCTTCTCTTCAAGTCCTGACATTTTGTCTTCTATTTGATCCAGCCTATTGAAGAAGCTTTCAAATCAAATTTATATTTGACTTGCTGAACTTTTTAATTTCTTGAATTCAATTTGATTTTTTTTCAGGATTTTGAATTTATGTTTCTACAGTTTCCTTCACTTCATGTTTAGTTGTATTCTCTTGGATTTAAGCATGCGTTTGTGTCTACTTTTAATTCATTAATCATAATTATTATCAATGTTTTGAACTTTTCATTTAGGTTTCATTCTTCCCCATCATTAGAGCCCTTTATTGTGGAACTGTTTACCATTGGAGCAGTCATGTTGCCTTGGTTTTTGAGTCCCCCCCCACCTTATTTGTTGTATTTCAGTACTGGGATTTACATGTCTGAGGCCAAGTAACTGATTAGAGGTTTTACTTGCCTCAAGAGTTCAAAAATTTTAAAGTCACAATTATGAGAAGTCTTTAATTCAACTATGTATTTAAAAACTTCATTAAAATTCTGTTTTTTTCCCCTAGTGTAATCAGCATGCTAAATCTAAAACAGATAATAGAAGATAAAAGCAATCACATAGCCAACAGACTTTTGAAGATGAGCTATATATTTTAAAAAATATAGTGAGCAATAGGTGGTGCCATTTTCAGAGGTATATATACCAATGAAAAAGAACTGAGATCTAAATATATATGAAACCTTGATATACAAGAATTGGTTTGCAGGTCAAGTAGAAAATATGGGGCTTTTCAATAAACAATAAGCTAGCTGGTTTCTCAACTAGAATAAAGAAGAATAAAATGGATCTCTACCTCAAACAGTACAATAAAATCAATTACTGAAAAATAAAAATTAAAAAAAAAGTTAAGCACATAAATATATCTTTATAATCTTAGAGATGGGAAGACAGCAAAAAGGATAGGCAAAAAACAATCAATAGATTATGAAGATTAAGAACTCTCGTCCATTTTATCATACAATGGAAAAGAGAAAGCACAAGTCTGGCAGAGTAATTTTTATAACAGATTACTCAATAAAGGATTAGTAACAAGGAGAACTGCTATATAGCTATATCAAAACCCAATGGAAAAATGACTAAAAGATATGAAAAGGCATTTCATAGAAAAATGCCAATATCTATATAATATCTATGTTCAAAGAGGAATGGAAGAGCCCAGTCCTGGTGGATGGCATGGATGGTTCAAACATTCTTTACTAACAAAGAAAATTTAATGTATCCTAATATTTGCCTTATTAGAACAAAAATTTATTTCATTTGCACTTGGAATATTTAAAGAATTTATCCTTTTCTGCCTACATATTCATTAATTATTTGAAGTTACTTGATATTCCCCGAGTTAGTGATATATTTATTTTTCTATAGTTGAACAACTTTATGTCTTTTTCAGCTTACTCAATTTTCTATCCTACCTCACTGAGCTATAATATATGTCTATTCTAGCTTTTGAAGGATATTCAATGAACACAGTATGTACATTACAAAAATTAATTTAATTAAAAAACTCAAATGAAGAGAAGTTCACATTGCCTCTTGGAAAGCATTCATATTTTCCTATTAAAATTGAGAGGTTTTCTAATGGAGCCTAATTTAGTTCATTTTACATCAAAATGAAAAACAAAAAATAAAACCTAACTCCAAATCTAGTTTCTTCATGTTCCTGGGTCTTTTGAAAAAATATTTAGCTTTCACACTTCCTTGAGTTTTCTAACCAAAGTTCAAAAACCTATCCTTCAGGGCTGGGAAGGTGGCTCAGTGGTAGAGCACTTGCCTTGCATGCCTGAGGCCCTGGGTTTGATTCCTCAGCACCACATAAGCAAAAAGAAAAAAAGCCGGAAGTGGCGCTGTGGCTCAAGTGGTAGAGCGCTAGCCTTGAGCTGAAGAGCATAGGGACAGCGCCCAGGTCCAGAGTTCAGGCCCCACGACTGGACCCCCCCAAAAAAACCAAAACCTATCCTTCATATCCTCTTCTCCCATCTCCACAGGACAAATCAAGAAGTTCAGAAACACGAAGGGAAAACCAATGTAATCAATTAAATGTTAAATAGTTCCAGAATTGAATGCCTGAATGGAACAAAGCTGGCCAATGACCCAAATAAATTTTAGGCACATGCTTTTCCATCTCAGAGCTATGTGGATAAAGGCAGGCTCACAACTTTCATGCCACCCTCTTCACAATGTATCACCCTATCATTGAATAATAGAAGACAAACACTGACCTAGTTTAGAAGTGCAGATGAAAAGAAAATGAAAACAGGATACATGACAGCAGCAAGGAAACCATGGCAACTAGAAGGGAGGGTTGTTTTGCTTACTTTATTTTGGTCAGAATAATCAGCAAGCTGAGCCTTCAGCTCTGTAATCTCAGCCTCCAGCAGACGGATCACTTCTTCATAGTCCATTTCCATTCCATGTGCCTGTCTCTGTGCAGCTTCAGCAAGATGAATTCGACTTCGCAAAGCTCTTGTTTCTTCAACCACAGCTTTGGCTTCCTGAAGAGTTCAAAGTTAGTGTTATTGGATAAAAACAAAACAGAACATGCAATGGTTTTGTATTCTACATAAAATATTTTCTTCATCACTTCTTCACATGCAAAACGAAGTATCTTTTATTTTATTATGTGGACTAGTTGTTTGGTCTTAGTATTTCCTTTGTTGTTTTCCTAAGACAGTTTCAGTATCGATTCCCTAACTGCACATACCTAGCATAATGCTAGGAAAAGAAAAGAAGCTGAAGAGAATTAAAAATGGAAAATAGAAGAAAGGACTTAGTCTTAGACAAAAGAGTAGGTTGAGACAAAACTGACAAGGCTCACATTCTAAAAAGGCTACTGCAAATTCATCACATGTTGCTGAGAGATGAAGCCTAGATTAACCCTCAGGGTAAAAGCTTTTTCTTGGGCATCAATCTCTATGCCTCACTTCTCATTTAAGGCAGATGGTAGGATATTTAATAGTACAACATATACCTGTATCTGTAGGATTCAACACCCATAGACATTTATTGAATATTTGTTCTACTTTAAGTGCTCCATTGTAATTTTCTTATTTGTAGAAAAGCATTAGGAGAAAGGCATATTAAAAAACAACAACAACAACAATCCCTTTTCATTCATTAGTGACCAGAGACAGAGAAAAGTCGCATCACTTATTCAATTAATGAACTCACAGCCAAGTCTGGTTGACTCTAACATTAATGTTCTCTTTTCACAATTTTACCTCAATTTTAAATAGCAAAGTAAACCCAAACAAAAATCAACAATATACCACTCAAATCCTCCACCTTAGGAAGGGGTTAGGTGGCCAGTACCCCTTGTTCTCTCATAATGTTCCTTGGAGCTGGGTCAACAGCAGTCCTTGAGGACACCAATAAAATTTGACACAGCAGTTACTACACTGTAAACCACATCTTTTTCTTTACTTGACATGCATTTCTCTCTTCTTTGCAATGGAACTTTCTGCTCCAATTGCCATGGCTAATATTAAGCTACAGTAATTTTAATTTTCTCGGAGCTGTTATGGGGCATTTGCTTTTGCTTGAGCCTAAAAACATTTGAAGTGCTGAGCGGGTTAGGAATGTGGACGTATTCTTATGGGTCAGTTTTGCACTCATACATTCAATAATTAATATTAAGTACTTACATGTCAAGTTCTGGCATAGGCAGTGAATAGCAAAGACAGAAAAATTTCCCTCTTGTCCCTCAAAATCTGCAGTTGAATTTGGAGAAATAGATAGTGAAGATTTCATACAGAAGACATTAGATTAGAGACCCACTGAAGGGACAGAGATGTAATTTTTCCAACAAGGAGCTTTTTGAGCAAAAGGAACCATTTGTGCAAAGGCTCTGAAGTGGAACTGTGCTTTGCATCTTCAGAGAACAGGAAGGAGGCCAATGGGACATCAGTAGTGAACAGGAAAGGAGAGGAAGAAGTCATAGTCAGATATGAGTGCAGTGAGTGTGGGGGTGGGTTGAAGTACAGGGGAAGACATCTGGCTATTCTAAGGGCTTTTATTTTGTGGGGGTGGGGGTAAGGAAAGTGATTAGAGGGCTTGAACTGAGAAGTAATAAGTGATATGAGCTGTCTTACTATTTGTACTACTGTGTTGAGAATAAACTAGGAGGACAATGTGAACGCAGAAGAAGGCAGGCAAAGCTCACCATGGCTCGGACAAGTATGTCAGTAGCAGAGATGGCGGGAAGCACTTAGATTCTAAATATAATTTAGAAGTAGAGCCAGTAGGTTAGGTCATCAATGATATTTATTTAGGAGACACTGCACCTAGACAATCATGTGATGCGATAAAAATACAAAGGGGCCTTTTTTCTGGTTCAGCTTAGAACATTAGATAGAAGTTAGATAAAAGGAGGAAGGAAAGAGAAAATGGTAGACAAAACAAAAACGAAAGAGGAGAGGCAAGAAGAAATGGGGCACCTTTGAGAAATAATATCAGATGGACTTTGATTGGAGTAGCAGTTTCCTGTGGGGAAATAATTGATAATTAAAATGATAATAGGAGAGTAGAAATGGACAGATAGAGGAGCTTGAAACTGGGGAAGTCTTGAGGTTTTCTAAGTGAAAAAAAATGATATGGAAAAATATTTAAAAAGAAGGAATCAGGTGCTATGATTCATGACTGTAATAGCAGCTGCTTGGAAGGCAGAGGTGGAAGGATAGTGATTTGAGGGCAGCTGAGGCAGTTCACATGAGAATCTACCTGAAGAACAAACTGGAAGGAAAGGACTGCCAGAAGTGAGGTGAGGGCATGATTCAAGCGGTAAAATGATTATTTAGCAAGTGCGAGGCCCTGGGTTCAGTTCCCAGTACCAAGGGGAAAAGCATGTTTTGAGGAAGCAGTCTGGTAACGGAGTGCAGGGAATAAAGGTATATGGCTAGCCAACAATAGAAGGTGTGGCCTCCCACACCCCAGATTCCAAAGAAGTTTTATCTTCCTATATTGGAAATATCTTACAGTAGAGGGGCACTTGGGAAGGAAAAGGATGCCTACCTTGCCCACCATATTTGGCAGTCCCATTCAGGCATCCCAAGAAAGTCATCAGTGAATTTTCTGGGTCAAATTCATAGCAGACTGTTGGTGCCTGCATCAGCTTACTGGGACAGTTCTGTTCTAATGTGTCTTACGTGTCACCTCTGCTAATCTGCTCACTGGGACATGAGGTGTGTCTGTTAGCACCCTCATTTTAGATAAGGCAACACACAGAAAGGCTCAGTAACTTTCTCACAATCACACACGTCGTCACTGGAAAGCTGAGATTTGTGATTTGAACCCATGCAGTTCAATTATAAACTTGATGTTCTTGGTTACTGTTCCCTACTAATCCATCAAATAGAGAAAATGCTTAAACAAACAAACAAAAATCACTCCTGGTGACAATACCAGGTACTAGCCCTGCATTTGTCCAGGATGTGGCCTGTAGAGTCAAGCACAAGCAGACGCCACTATACTGATCCCCATTTTCTATTTAACCAGGCTAAAAAAACAAACAAACAAAAAAACAAACAAAATTAACCTGCCTCAAAAGGGCAGAAAATTCACCCTAGCTGCAGTGAAGAATAACTAATTTGATGATTTGTCTTCTTCACACTCACTTCATGTGGCTTTTATGCCTCTATAAAAACAGCACTTTTATTTTTGTTCAGAGATTGCTAGTTAATTAAATGAAGACTCTAGATGGAGATGGAGTTTATTCAGCCATTCTAGTGCATTGATGGCAATACAGTGTGAAGTGCAGCTGGGTGGTAAAAAGATGCAGAGGTTTTGATGCTGAATAAATTCATGCTATTTCTTTTGTAAATGTATAACTGTCAGGCTGGTGAATGTGACCCCTTAGCAAAGTTCTAGCCTAGTTCCCCCTAAATGGCTGTTTAAAAGATCAGTGCATGGAAATGATTACTTTTGGAGGAAACAGGAAAGAAAAGATAACAGCAGTATGACAGATTTAGCAATAAAGGATCACATCAATCCATTTTCTCTTTTCTTCCCAGGCTGCCTTCTAATAAATAACTGCAAAGCCTTCCGTGTCAGTAATATCTGAGCCTGAATTTTCCCAGTACCTCCCCATGAGCCTGAAATTTCAGTCAGGAGAAATGCTGTCATCAATTTACTGATTTACTTTGTACAGGAGCTTAATGCACAGTAGAAAGTTAGTTCACAAAAGAAAACCTAAGGTATGAAAATAAATCAGAAGAATCAACATAGGCATGATTTCTTTTATTTATTTATTTATTATTTGTGAACATACTGTACAGAGGGGTTACAATTACATGGGCAGGATAATGCGTACATTTCTTAC